AGGGTTGCCCCTGGGGCTCGCAATTAGCGGACTCAGCGTCTCGGCAGAACGAACGGCACACAGCTCCAAACCTCATGGACCGTGTTACGTCTTTAGAGAGATGAAACCCAGCCCCAAAAGGGGAGCGTTAGGCTTTCTGGGAGGGAAACACAGTCAGCTGGAGCTAGCAGCGCAGGCCGAATATGCCAAGCGTGTGCCAAACCGTCAGGGATCCCTTCCTGCTCTAAGACAGACGACAGCACTTGTGATTCTTTATGCTAACTCATGCCTCATTGCCTAACGCTTTTAAAGACTTGCTAAAGTCTTTGTTTCATTAAATATCTCTCGGGATGATAATCCTTCCTAGCAGCGTGTGGCAAGCCTAATCTTCCATTTTCTGTCTCACAAGGTAGAAGGTGAGGCGCTCTCATTTCTCGCCGAACCCTAATTCTCGCTCAGCTGGAGGAAACCGCCTTGTCTTAAGTTGTTTTAGGGCGACGTGGTATTTTCTCCACCGAGGAGAATCTGGCCTCTACAAACTTCTCCCCTAATCGGTGCTATTCACGCTTGGCTGTGGTAACGCCCCAGACGGAGCTGTGGGGTAATGCGATACCTCCTCCTATGTCAGTGCTGCTCGCTGCCCTTGGTGCATGCTCTCGGTATGCCTGACTTCAGTAGAAAGGAAATAGAGGCCCAGAACAGCGGCGGAAAATTGTAGCTGTTCAGATTCTTTAGCGTCCTCTGGGATCAAGCGAGCGGGTGGATGGCCACAAATGTTCAGCTGGTCTCGGAGCCTTCGGCTGAAAGCTGATCAGAGGTCGTAAAGCACCTCAGGCCAGGCTCCGGCAGCAGTGCTGTGAGTCGCATCAGATGTTTACGTGACATAAAACGCTGCGTGAAAATGTCAGAGGGAGTTCATGAGGAGAAGGGCTAAACTAAAACTGTATTCTCACTGGACTGCGAAATTGTGCAGCGGGGAAAAAGGGCAAGGGAACTTCTGCGGCGTAGAACGGGAACAACATGGAAAAGCATTCCTGGTGCTCTCTCTCAACGCTGTGCGCTGACCTGGCCCTAGACAAAAGCACTCCTATTAATGCCTTAAAGTCCAGTGCTTGGGGGGAGCTCACAAATCTTTAAACCTTATCCCAGTCAAAGGGTGCTTTGTGAGGGCTTCCTGTGTGCGTGCGTGCCTGTACCCTGAGGCGCATACCTGTTAACTTGTCTTTCCACAGCAATGTTGGGTTACCTCTACCAGAGAGTATGATGCAGTTACCTTGGATCAGCCGACAGCTGGTAACTTCTTATCAGACCGCCAACGTGCAGGCTCTTCTCGCCAGGTAGCCCCAGCTAGGGGCCTGCATGTGGCAGATGCCGTGGGTGTGCTGACCCACAGGAAGTCACTCCTGTCAAGCTTGTGGCTTGTACGTTTTCTGTGCTCTGCCACGGGCAGTGCTGGAACCTGAATTGGCACCTCTGGGTGACGGCACAAGGCACAGTTTGGGGTTGAAACTTGGGGGCACGAGACTAAAGAGACAGGAGGTGCAACAGGACAAAGAAAGAAAAGAAAGGAAAGGGCTACTACCCCCCTTTGCCTTTAAAGATGGGGCTGTGGGGGGCAATATGAACCACAGGCCCTTTGCTGACTGGGTATGGCACGCAAAGCACACTCCACCCCGTCCAGAGTACAGCTCTTGGAGCTCTAAGTTCCTTCCTGTGCTACCCGGAAGATCCTTCTCAGCCACACACTGCTAACTCTTGCACTGAATACGTGCATCAAGTCTCATGAGGACTGTGCTGTTAGCAAGGGTTTGGCTCTGCATTTTTTTCCATTGTTTAAAATGACAAGCAGCATTTCAGTAGGAGCTAGGAACAGCACCGCTAGCACCTTGAAATTAAAGAGGGTGCCACTCAGATGTGCAGCTATACTTTTCACAGCTGACTGATGCCAGGCGAAGGCAGCCTCCAGAAAGATTGCGCAGGGAGGAGGGCAGTCAGGCAACCAACTCACTACGTTAGAAATTAAAGGCCGTTAACGTACTTGACAAAGGTAGCCCATTGACTGTAAATCAGACAAATTAAGGCCCAGTAGGCTGGACAAGGACAAACGTTATGGGGTTTTTTTTTGTTGTAGCTTTTTTAAATGATGAATTCCAACATTGTTTTCTGAAGCCAGTTTGGTACCTTAGGTCAAAGACTGCTTCTCCTTTTAACTGTTACAACAGAATTGGAAAGATAGCAGAGACCATCAGAGGTGTGCTTCTTTATCGTAAGAATAGCATTTGTTATTTATACAGCAGCAGCATCTGCAGGGCCCCGGTTGAAGATTGAAACTCACGCATTTCTAGGGCAGCGCTCCCCTTACCACGATCATCATTTTCCCCATTGTGTTATCCCCTTTCAGTGTGTCAGTAGGAGCTGGCGCAGTTTAAAAATAACCCAAGATTTCTGATACTGTACCAAAGTACACAGTTACACAACTCCCCTTGAAATGCGTATCGCCTAATCAGAAGTTTGGGTGTCATCGACTCGGGAGGGAAGCAGTAGCAGCCTTTCCTCATGAATCAGGGAGATAGGAGAAGGACACACCTCTCAGACAACTGTGTTGTCATTGCGCTCCAAGTACTGCGTTGCAACTTTCACTCAGAGCTTTCTGTAAAGAAGATTGCTGACGTTGGGAGACCTCTGCATGAAGCACTCTGGGGAAAGGAGGCTGAGCCATTGCAATGGAAATCAACCACAATCATACTTACTTAGTCTAAATTCCACCTACATCTCTGTGACTAGATTCCTGTTAGCTGGTGCAAAACATTTATCTGTAGGCAGGATCTAAACTGTCTGTACACAGCTCTTAGGTTTTAAAGGTTTCACTGTAATCTCTCACACAGTTTAGGAGATGAACTGAAATACACAGAGTGGTTCAGAAGTAAGGTTGCGTACGCAGGAAGAGGAGAGCTGTGCTAGCGTTAGATTTTTATCTGTGCTGTCTGCACGGGCACTATTTACCACATTAGCTGGAAGCACCTACGTCCCTCAGCCAAAACATCTCAGGTGGAATAGCTGCATGGAAGTCAAAAAAACTCCATTTACTTTAATACATCCAAGCTTTTACATCATGCTTCATACTGTCATGTACTTTAGACTGAAAAAAAGCCCCAGGATAAAGTGTGGCTTCCCTGCAGTTTCTAGGCGTTGTAAATACACACACAATTCTCGTTAGCTAAAAAACGGTATTTTTGCCTCCGTACCTTTTTCCTTGAATTTAGCATGAGAGCATGCAGCATACCAGAGCACAGAAGACAGAGCATTAGTACAAATGTAGTCGAGCTGTAGCACTTCCGCTGCAGCACGTTTATTTATAAAACAACCAAACAAAAATTATGAAATCATTGATTCCAAGGAATCTGTAATAAATATTTGCTTTCCTCCGAGTTGTTCAGACACAGTACAAGTACACCAATTATAACAGATAAGAGAGAGATGTAAGCGCAGTTTAGCTGCAGAGAAACAAAAGAAAGCTACATAAGACTGTACGCATGTAATCACACTCTAGTAATAATTGGTATATGACAGTAAATGCTTTAAATACAGTATTTTACAAAATAGAATTTGGCTAATGGTTCATCTGCTTCCCTTGTAAGACTCCTGATGCTATCATTCCGAGCTCAGAAAATGTCCCTTTGAAAATAAAATACCCATGCCTTTGAAATAATCTCTTTCTCACATTTCCTTGGTGTAAGGATCTTTTCTTGGTTTCCTGTTAGCAACTGAAGTGCCCGACTGCCTTGTGTTTACCTGTGAGGCCACTGATGTGTGGTCTGAAAAGCACCACAGCATTCCAGACTTGGCACTTTTGAATCACGGTGACGTCCAGGCTTTCTGTCTAGGGCCACACATCTTCCCATGACGGGAGGGCCACGGTGCCCTTTCCTCACACATGCTGCATATCCATTGCAGCTGCTGCATGCATAGATAGCCGGCACGCATTTAACCTGCTTCCTGACAGGGGCTAGGAAAGATGACACACCAGGCTCCCCCACCGATTGCTCCCGACTAACCTCTTTTCCCTAAGGTCCATAAACCTTTCCTCCCATGTTATCGATCAGGTACCTCATATGACAGGGAGCGACTTCCCTGCTCCAGGGAAGTTGGAAGCCAGGAGAGGGCTGCCATGGCACATCTGTCTTGCAGCCCATTCCCAAAGGCCTCCAGGAAAGAGCGCGCCAGGAGCTGGCTGGGCAGATTCTTATAGCTGGCAGCAGGCGGCCTCTAGGCTGTAGATACAGGCTCCTTCACTTAGCTAATGGCAAGTCTGGCCTGTGACTCAGAAGCAAGCTAGGTATTTTGCACCTAGACCTTAGCCAGCTCAACTGTTTGAACTGTTACCCCCATGCTGTGATAATAAGCCTCCAGTTGCTCCGGCATGTGTTCTTCACTGAGAAATTTGCTCCTGTTTGTATACCCATAGAATCACATCCTCAGATAATCCATTGAGGGAACAGGGGTAGCATTCACTCCTGAACAGTAAGCTACCAGGAAAGCCACCAACTGCTTAAGCAGCCCTGCTCATGCTCTTGTTTAGGACTTTTCCAGCTCCAGAGCATCCTGTAAGCGCTTTGGAGGGTCTCGGCCTTCACGGCCCAGCGAAAGAGCAAACGGCAGAGCAGTCACAGACGCTTACAGCCACTTCTGCCGGACGGCAACGGCCGCAACCATCTACGAAGGCACGACCGAGCCAGGAACGTGCCTTTGGAGTATCCAGGGGAAGTGCCGAGGTAAAATGACATAATGTCCAACACCAGGAGCTGTCATGAACATAGAAGCTTATCAAACGTCTAATACCAGAGGGTTCCTTGGTTTAAATCCGTGATCCAAGACTGCCTCCCTTCCACAACAGATCGGTACTCTGTCCTACCAAGGGTGGTTAGGTTGACTCTTGGGTACAGAGATCAAGTTACAGGTGGATGCTGCATGTGAGGAGAATGGGTGACTGCTACTAAGAAGTGACGTTCTCAGATAATATCAGGCAAGTTGCTTTATGAGACTATTTCTCATAAGGAAGTAAAAATCCAAGGCTTGTTTTTGATCAGATTTTGGTACTCCTGGAGAAATTACAGCAAGTATTTTCTAAGATCTCAAGCAAAGAAGCTAGAATGCCAGGCCTCAGTCAGAGAAGGACGTTAATTGTCATTCCTGGAGCGACAGAATTATAGATTCACGGTTCTTCTGTGCTGATCCATCTTCCTGCGGAGTCCTTCCACTGGAGAAACTGGAGAAAACCTTCCCTCCTTCAAATGAAAAATCCGGCCACAGAGAAAATTGACAATGTAAGAATACAGGCATTTAGGACCTACAAGCTCAGTGTCTTGTGTGTAGCAGTGGCCAGAGCCAAGTCCTTCAGAGGAAAGTGTAAACGAGAGAAAGTTACAGGAGCGTCCGCCTGCAGAAGCCTGCCCCTATCTCGCACCATTTCTTGTTTGGCTTGCAACTTGAAGCATAAGGCTTTATGTCCCTTATAAATGTTTATTCTGGCTAATTAAATCACAGAGCACGCTTGTGTGATTCCTGCACATTTGAATCCTGCTAAAGTTTAAGCCTCAACAATAGAACGAAGCCCAGCGCTTGATGGAAAATGGGACAATGCACACAGACATACCGTGTTCCCTAAGTTCTGAATTTGTTTTCCTGCCCCTGGTGTATTTTCCTCACAATATGCTCTGTCATTCCACTCTTACCTGGATGCCTGAAGGCCAGTTCAAGGATGCTGTTCATCCAGCCTTGGGCAGAGTTCCCCATAAAGCTTCTACAGCATGGCTCATCCCAAAACTGGTGAATTCACAGCAGAGGAACGGGAAAATCAGGAAAAATATCTTCTAAATGCTTCCTCCAGGGCTTTTTGGGAGATTGGTGGCCCTTACTTTTTGAGGTGCTGCCTTCATTTTGGATTCAGCATCTGATTCGCATCTCACTAAGGCTCATTTGACACAGACAACTCCAGTGGAGTTACTGCTGATTTACAATGCTGACCCTAAGAGCAGAGCAGGGCTCCTGGCCAGATCTACTGGTGCATTATTAAGTTTATTCTGGCAATTAAGCACCTGTTTCCTTGACATGAAGGGTCCTTTCCCAAGTACAGATGTTAGTTCAGACACATGCCTTACTACTGCATCCCTGAATCTTTTCGAGTTCCCTTTCCTTTCTCCTTCAGTTAAAAGCCTCCAAATGTATTTCACTAGGAGACTGAATGCAGAAGTTAGAAGCAGCTGTTAAGTTTCCCTTGAGGTTGACCAGCAGACAATCCTTAGCAAAGAAGCTGCCTCAAGAACTTCCGCTAAGACGATGGTTCTTTTAGAAAGTTCACCAAAACCAGTACAAAAGACTTTCCCCTCCCTCGTAAACCTCACCAGAACGTGGTCCACCCTTTTGCCTCCGTTGATCCCTTTTAAAAAAAAACCCTGAGCTTTGGTTTCATTTCATTTATGCAGCGCTTAGCTAACATTTTTCAGCTGTAGTTTTTAAAACGCTCGGTATTCCATTTCCTAAAGAGTTAATTTAAACAGAAGGCTCCCCTTTCCCTCAAATTTATCAAAAAAAAAAAAATCTGTACCAGAACCTCAGTGCAGGAAGGTGTAAGACCGATTGGAGTGGGAGGGCTTCTTGTGGTGTGAATATTCAGAAGTGACTAAAATTAAGCTGACTAGGAAGATAACAAGCTAATCTAACTATTCCTATGTGGCTGGTGCTATGTGAAGTGTTTCTGGATGGCAGGAGTCTCCAGGTGGCTCGTAAGCAGTCACACGGTCTGAAACGCTCGGCTTTGGGCGGGCACCGTGACCAGTGTGGCTCTCATTTTCATCAGGTTAGCGTAGTCAACTTTCTTTGGCTCAGTTTCCCTTCCTTCCGTCTCCCTCTGGCTGTATTGGGGAGGAGTTAGATGAGGAGTAGCTTCCGTCGACAAAGTCCGTTGGCTGCGAGAGGCACTGTTGGCTGTTGACCTGGTTGAGGAGGAACCGGAACGTGAGCTCCTGGAGCCAGAGGAAGAGGAGCTGGGCTTGACAAGATGGGCTTTGGGTGCCTCTGCATCTTCTCTGCGATCAAACAGATAACAGGGTTCAAACACCATGAGAATAGAAACATTCATACGTTTTACTAGACTCAATTGCTGCTGCAATGAGCAATTGCTCATTGAAGTTGCAGATCACCCAGAGCACGTTTGCCCAGCAGGTTGATCTTGGCCCTGGGTCTTCCGGGTTCTGTCCTACATAACTTTGAGGATTGAACTCCCTCTGGCTCTGCGGAGCTATCGGTCAAATGGTTTTTGAAATACATGCTGCCCATGACTGGCTCTTTATGTGGGACTTTGTGGAATGAGCGCAAAGAGTTCAGATATAACTGTCCGCTCTGTAAACAAATCACCTATACAGGGTTAGCCAAGACCAGTTCTTCTACTAGTAAAAATGGGGGTAGGAAAAGAAATGCAAGAACTGGGCCCAGAGAGAGGAAAAGAAAGAGGTACCAATCGCAGGTGAAAAGTTGATGCAAGAAGAGGCTGAAGCTGAGACTGAAAAAGAAAAGAAAAAAAAAACAGGGAAACTGGCACTCAAGATTTGAAAGCAAAGAAAACAGGAAAAAGGGCAGCGAGGAAAGAACAGCTTCTTGCTGGTTATGTATGCAACCTGACCATCAGGCAGAGAGATCAGCTGCTGAACGGATTACGGAGATTCCTGCTTAACGGTACACAGATGTCATAGGAGGGCCGACAGCCTTTACAAATAGAAAAGAGGATGCAAATGCAAAAGGGTTCTTCAAGGGCAGGAGCAGCTAAAACTCATTCCTGGAAGTCTCTTTTTCTAGCGCTTTCCTTCCTGAGAACTTCGGGCTCAATTGGCTAGAGACCAAATCTCTGCTTAGAGGAGTGAGTAGCAGACCTCACACATACGTAACGAAGGAGCTCAAAGAACACGCGTCAGCATTCTTGGTACGCACGCTCAGGGCGAGGCTTCTCAACTCTGCGCATAGACGCTCACGAGATTTTCAACCCCGAGCTAAATCCAGAAGCCCAGTTGTTCTAAAGACTCGAGAAAGACTGTGAGAACCTGCCTGCCTCGCAGGCATTCCCAACAGAGATTGGAATTTAAAGGAAACAAATCAAATCTTACAAACCGTAATGGACAAGCGGGTTGAATCCCGTACCAGAGAGGGCTAACGAAATGCATAACAATGATGAAAATTGCAAACAAGAGAGGAAGTTGTTCATTAAACATTATTAAACATATATTTTACATTATCAAATTGCATTTAATATATTTTTATTGGGTTTCATACTACATTTTATCTATTTTTGTCGACACAAAGGTAATTCTCACAGTGAAGGAATTTGTCCTTGACATTTCAGGGAGACTTTACAAGTTTTTTTGGAACAGCCTTTGCAGACCCTTACAGCTAGGTTGCTTAAAACAGTAGTGAAAACACGCTAATTTGGATCATGCTGAGCCCATGTGAAAGTAAAAGAACAGAGGGTGGAAGGTCGGGGTTTCAATAAAAGGCATTACCTGATTTCATTGGGGGCCTCCTCCTCTTCATATCTCTTTTTTTCTTTCCTCCTTATTGTCAGCCTCACCACCAGGAGAAGAAGGCAAAGTCCCACCACTACTCCACAAACTGCTCCAGCGATCATGCCAATATTTTGTGCCTCTGTTGTCCAGAAAAACGTTTAAGTTAGTAGGTGAACTCTCACTATGGTCCATATAGTCAGATTCGAGACCACACTAGAATTCTTACCACTGGGTATAAATCAGAACAAAATGTATTATTTTCATCTACTTATTTAAGCAGGCCTTCATGCAGAGGTTGAAGCACTTTATCTTCAAGTATTTCTAAAACTGGGCACTGGCATCAACACTGAGAATGGTATTCAGCTCTATAAGGGAGGGATCACAAGTGCTCTGGCTTTTGGCTGTGTGCCACAATTTAAATGCAAAGGAGGAATCCTCTCATAAGATCACAGAGCCACGGAAAGCACAGAGGTAAAAAGACAGGGCAATCCACATCTGAAGCCAGGCACCAAGCAGTTTCCTGGAGGCAGAAGAGTACGTCTGAAGTACGAACGTTTCCCCACGAGGGTTGTTTTTCCCCTTAACTCACCCTGAAATTATTACAATCCACTTTCAAAATGAATTATTCTCCTGAGGAAAAAAGAGACTCGAGGGCGATAGAGGAAGAGGAGGAGGAGGAAAGGAAGACCGCACTGTGTGAGCGCAGGGCATTTTTCCATCCAAAACAACAAGGTTAATGAGACAACGCTTTCTAACGCGTATGAGCCCTCAGTTGCTTCTGTACAAAACCTTCTTTTGATAAAGAAGGGATTAGGCTGGGTTTGGCTGGAACTTGTTTCCCTAAGGCTTGTCCCTACGGAGGGTGTACCAATTCAGGGCGAGGTTTAAACCACCTCACTTCAACTGGCATAAAAGCTGCCCAGATGCTTTTATTTCAGTGCCTGAGGGGAACAGGCTTTCCTTGCTACATGACCCTGTTCCAGTTTTTTCTACCCTGGCTGGGCAGACAAATTCCAAAGCTGTGGGACCGCCACGGAAGAGACTGCTCTATTAGCAGCCCTTTATCGCCTCCACCTCTTGCTGATCTCACCTGAGAGCTGCACCCAAAAACCTGCTAAACTGTAGTCTTTGGATTTGTCATCAGTGCTGGTGCTAAACTCCACCCATTTTCATGCACGCATACGCAAGGCACTGGTACTTAGACGCGTACACACCCTTGATGTGGTTAACCACGTAGAACATTGTAATCTCTGGCGTTTAGGCTAGAATTTATTAAACGCGGATTAAACCCAAATTCTGTCACAAGTAACTTTTTACTCGGCACGCTATTTCACATCTAAGACAGCCTTTTCAGGCTACCTTTAGCTAGTTTACTATCTCAGGTAGGAGAGATACTTAATTTGGAATTGGAATGATGAACTACCTACTGGGATTTTATAGTTGACAGGAATTCATCATGCAGTCATTCCAGCCATAAGTACCACTACAAACTGTAGCCTCTGCAAACTCTATAGCTCAGCCGTTTTTCCTAGTACTCCGTTAGTTAGTCTCAAAATCAAACTTTCTAATAGACTAAGATGCCTGAGCCTGAAGAAGAAATTTACCACTCTAGGGTATCCTGAGGAATGCTGTGCAAACCATGAGGGCAATAAATAAGAACTGCTTCACGTGATTCAAGTATGAAAGGGCAAAGGTGTGGCACAGAGAATTTATCAGTAGAGACAGGACAACTGGGAAGCAATGCTGCTCATCCAGCGGTGCGAATACTAGTTATGCACTGATACTCACGCTGCACTGTCACCTGAACAACACAGCTTTCTTGTCCAGCCTCGTTGGTGGCAATGCATTGGTATAAACCCGTACTCATCTGTGTGAGGTTCTTCAGTAGAACTTGCCCGGGATTAGATATGTCTGAAACAAGAAAAACAGCAGCAGGATTAAGCAGAACACTTTAAATTAAGAAGCCACGAAGGATGGCAAATAGCACACAGAACCTGGACGCAGAAACACAGATTGAATTTCCAGGCCACGTCAGCCCAAGAAGAGTGAACGATGTCTCACAAAAGATCATTTGTCAACCTTCCGTAAAACGCTGAACTCCCTAGACGCTCATTCACTCCCTTGTTATAGGGCCCCATCATCCAGCTGCAATAGTGAGAAGCACTGGTACGCCATTGCTGTCCCTGCCACTAAACGTTCCCCGTTTAAAAGACGGGGAAGATGACTTCTAGCGTCAGGATTAGAGAAGAGTTCAAGCACGCGCGGCTACTTGGCTTTCCTGAGCATGCGCTGTCTAAGAGAAAACGACCTTACTTACTGACTCTCGACGTAGGTGGGAGATGTTCAGGTCTCTCTTCGTCCTCGCTTAAGCGCTGCCACCGGTAGGAGATGGGTGCAGTGCCAGATGCAGAATGACACTGCAAGGAGGCTTCTTTTCCTTCCAGCAGTTCCCCTTCTAGCCAGCATTTGGGCTTGGAAGGTTTCTCTGCAAGAAAGAGAACACAGGTCACCCACACGTGCCACAACCTCTATTTTCTCAGCGGAAAACCCTTTCTTTGGCAAGAGGACACATATCAAGCAGCTTCTCAGAACTGTCTTCTCTAGAGAGCGCCATCGAGAACATCAGGGATGCTTGCTAATGGACTTCAACTGCAACTTTGTGCAGTTTCATAGTCTTAAGAAGCAGGGCTGACTGGCCCATAGACATAAAAATGCCCCGTGGTGGTTTGGGGCAGTTGGCCTCATGCATACTCGCACCCGTGTAGCTGTATCGCTGTATTCCTTCTTTAGATACTATTTAGAAAACATCTTTCCTCCCCCCTCCCCCCTTCTCCATTTCTTCCTCCTTCTCCCTCCCCATAGCATCTGGCAGGCCGCAACAGTTGTTCTCTGGGATGACAACATATGTGCCAAAAGCCAACCAATAAACTGAAATCGGGGAGGAGAAATGCTAACCCCAGCAGTTTACAGGTCACCTCCACTGACTGGGTCCAGTATGGAGTCCCGGAACATGAACCCAGAGTCCTCAGTGAGAGATCCAGATAGGGTGGTCACCAGCTAAGCTAGGATATCGTTATGGGTTGCGATGAGATCATAAACGTAATTTGAAAAGAACGGCTTACGTGATTTTGCAAGTGACTACGCTGACCTCAAAACACTTCCTTAAGCTTTTCCTGTGTTCCGTCCTTTGCCAAAAAATGCAAAGACAGATAGGGAGTTGGACAGTGAAATCTGATCATGAAACGTCTTTGTGTATTTATACCCTGCTGAAATAAATCCGCCTCCAGGAAATGAGTCTAGTGATTTTTTTTTCCTTTGGAAGAACAACAAAATGACCTTACCTACAACCTTCAGGGTGATGTGAGCCCATTCGTACTGCCCAGCGTTTTTAACTTTACATATGTACTTTCCTGCATCACTGGACTGCAGGGATATGATCTGCAAGGACGCGTCTCCAGCAAGGAAATTGGAAGTGAAGGAAACGCGGCCTTTCTGCTCCTCATTCAAGTCGTCATAAACGTGGCCTCCAGAGTAAGTGATTACCTGATGAGCAGAGAGAGTCACTGATCAGACAGTTGTAGTGTTACTTTCAGTATACGGAGCAAAAAAATCAAAGCGTTTCCAGAAACTGTGGACTAACGTTTTGTATAGTTAAGTGACCTACCCGGGGCCATGCAGGAAGCCTGTAGCAGAGTAGAAAATTACTCTACAAGAAGGATTTCTTGTCTGAGACTCATACCTAAACCGTGTTTACGCTAGAGGTTTATACCCGAGCATTTACACTTGTGTCAAAACCCCAGCACGGACATCAGCTTGTGCCATAGTATATACAAGAGCAGCCTCTGGCTTTGCCAAGCTAATTAAAGTTACCTTCGGCCTGATTTTTAAAAGTACTAAACTCCCTTATTTTTTCTGAAAGAGAGCTTTCAAAAAGTGGATGTACAAAATCCACGGTCATTTCTGAAAACCTGAAGGGCTATTTTGAGTTTGATCCAGAGATGACTCATTAATGATGCTGGTTTAAAGCAAACCCAATTACATCAGTGCCTTTCTCCAATACAAGATGCGTGCATATCAAATATCTCGTAGACATTTCACAACATCTCTTTAAATCAGTTATGTTTTCTAAACAGTAGACACTCCCACAGTATAACTTAAAAAGGAGAACACAGAAGTCTCTTTAGATGAACGGCTGCTGTCGATGACAACACAGAAACAAGCGCGCTTTCTCAGCGGATATGCGTTGCGGCTAAAGGGAACCTACCGCTTTTTGTACTGTTTCAGAAACATGCAGCAGCCACTCGATATCCAAGCTTCTTTGCTCCAGGAGGCCCAGGCGGTGGTGACAGGGCAAAGTCACGTTTTCTTCAGCCACTCTCTTAAATTCAGTCTGGGCCTCAGATATCCAAACAGAACAGGAAGCTGAAAGACAGATGCCAGCAGTCAGAGGCCAAGATAAAGGATTTACCTCTGCTGCGACAAGGGGCGCTGGCTTAGATTTCACCGGATTCTTCTTCATTTGCTTCATAGCATAAAAGAAAACCCAACAGCTTGACTTCCTGGACAGGCTGCAGCTGATTAAAGACGACATGTGTACATACATCGGGGGTTAGTTTCACACTAGCGTTTAAGCATGAAAAACAGATGGCTTCACGCTCCAGAGCTGTCAGTGATAAAAATCACATAAACCTTTTGTTAATGTTTATTTGCCACCGTGAAAATTGCCTGAAAACCACGAAAGCAGTTTGCAGACTTGCAAGTTACATATACATCTATATCCTCTATAAATGAAAAATTCCAAATTACTTCCTCGTTTTTGCCTTCGCCTTTTACTACCTTCGTTCACGAACATCGTTTCGGCCTGGAAGCCTTTCAGAACCCATGGCTCTACTCTTCTGCCAGCGTGACAAGGCTGCAGTATCGTCCTTACCACTAGAGGATGCTCTTTGTACGCGCTTCAGCACTGAAAATCGGAAACCAGACTGGGAACAAAAAGGTTAACCTTAAAGAAAGGCGCAGTGCAAGTAGAGCAGTGAGGTGTCTTGGAAAAGCAACATCAAAAAACAGAAGTTGTCAAAAACAGTTTGTCAAGGGGGAGGGGGGGGAAATCTTTCCAAGTTAAACCACTAGAGGGAATCCAAGCCTCATAAATGTTGTTGACTGGCTCCCAAGACACGCGTACCTCCCTAAAACCAGATCCACGAAACAGCACACCCCAGGAAAAAAACAGCGTTCAGCATGACTTATACAGTGATGACTTAAATTCACGCCGCCTTTCCAGGTTTCTTTTTATACTGAAGCTCTGCCATACTGAAATGCAACTACATCCCTGCTAAAACTCAACTCAGTCAGGGGTTCATACCGGAGCCTCGCGAGTCTCCACGTTTTGGTAACAGATGGGCTCTGGTAAGGCTCAAACTCAATTAAAACCTGCCCCAAAGGTCAGAGATACAGAAAATTCTGGGCATTTAGGTCAGGGTCACCTCTAGATCTGCTCTGAGACCCAATGAAAAATTTTCCAAATGAGTTCCCCGTACGCGTTTCTGCGGCATGAACGTCATTCATTCACCTTTCGCGTTTGTATCTTCAGAGCACGGTTGGGTTGTTCTTAAATTTTGCTCCGTGGCAAGGAGGCCTAAACGTTTTTTTTTCTTCGCTGAAACAAAGTGAAATATGTCTATTGCGAGACAGATTTAAGACTGGGAGCGTTGGCAACGCTGTGAAGGCACACGTGTGTATTCGAGCACACAATCCTGTGACAATACAGCAAAATAACTGGCAAGAGCGTAAGAAGCTCTAGAGATACACGCTAAGTTTGTTCCTGCACTTGCCTTCAGAGGGCGTGACTCTAACTTTTCCCTCACCTTTCCACAAAAAAAAGCAGAAAAATGACATCGAAAGTGACACTTCCTCAGCTTTTGCCGTTTCTTTGGGACCAACTCTGGTTTAAGAAACATTCATCCACTCCCCACTCCCATTCTCAGATCTGGCTCCGAGTTTTTAGCGCACCCATCCCTCAGGTCTTGAGCTTCTCTCTGATATTTGAATCAATACTTGCCAAGTACTTTTATAGAAGGCACCATCTAACACGTGCATACCCACATATATAAAAATGCCTAGAATTTTAAGACAGGTGGAGCGTTGCAGAGGATTACACTCTCCTCTCCTACATAGACCTCCGCATGAATCGACGAGCCTGAAAGCTCCTTTTCAGCCATGTTAGCTGCCTTCTTTAAAGGAAAAATTAATCCAGTTTACCTCTGGATTCACTAGTCCCAAAGATCCATCTGCCAAATACAATTACGCATTCTGTCTAAAAGTGAACGCCTGCTTTCTCCTACAGCCTGCATTGCTGGGGGCTCCCTTCATTAACACACTGACACTCACTAGATGGGCTGATCAATGAGTTTAATTGATCTGCCAACTACAGCACAGCAACTGTTCCCACATCCGCAACTTTTTCAAAATCCTGGGCCAGTCTCATGCACATCTTGCAGGGTACCCTTTAGAGGAGCATCTTGCCTGGTTATTACCACCCCCATTCAGGAATATAAACTGCATTTTGAAGGAGTACAATAGCATTAGTTTCCCTCCTCTCTAGCTTAAGGCAAGACTGTTTTAAGGGGAGCTCACACCTTGGTCCGTGCTTGTTTGCTGGGGGCAACCCGCTCTGGATTTGAGAAGCGGCCCTTTGCCTGTAAGCTCATCTGCTAGAGGTGAGCAACATCTGAGAGGAATCCAGTAAGATAATGACAACTGCACATTTCAAAAGCACCTTTTCGCCAACGGTACACACACTCCGAGATAACTTGGAGCCAATTCACCAATGAACTGTATGTTGTGTCCTTATATGCACCAGTGTTAGCTTTTAAACACACTTTCCTGCACATCTCATACTTAGGTTTCCATGAGATAGCTGACCGTACCTTGTTCAAAGGCCGGTCCCTTTAGTCGTTATTAGTTCTTTTAGGTGCCCAGTATTGGAGCCAGTCTTGGAAACCGCCTATTCAAAAAGCCAGAAAAGAGCTCAAAGTGAACAGACCTCTGCCTTTCTATAGCTTGGGTAGAGTCTCCCTGTAGCAAGCACTAATGAAACTGAAATTAAAATTTACAGTTGGATAGGTGCTGGGATTTACAATATACACCTCAAATAAAAAGAATCTAGATGCCAAATCTGAGCCCCCTTCTAGATTAAGGGCTTCATTGCTCAAAGAATTAACGCCCTCTAACTTTGTGTCTCATGTTCAGGTGCAGATGAGATGAAGCAAGAAGAAATGAGATTTTGCTGACAGTGCTTAAGCGGCTTTTTTTTTTTTTAATATTTTATTTAAGTGGTTACAGAAGATAAGGGTCTCTGCATATGGGCAACCCCTTACAGCAGCAAGCATGCACAGTCTTCGGCACACACACTCGCGGGGATACGTTTGCTAGTTTGAAAAAGCAGTTTGTTCTGGGCAAGCACTTTCGCTCTGCTAGGTGGGTGCACAACTGGCTCTGTATCTTCCTCCCTCAAGGGGCTTCGCAGCCACACGAGGGCAGAGCCTACTCAGAACAGTCCCTTAAGGCTGGCGCCGGTGCATGACAATAGATGATTTAAGACAATAGATTTTCCCAAAAGTCTCCCAAAGGTCTCAGCTCAGCCATGCAGTAAATATGCAGGCTCCACAGTCCTCACCCAAAAAATGTCTCATGGAGCCAACTCTTGCCCTTAGGCATCCGGTGTGGTGTTTCTTATGCCACAAAGTCCAACTTGGGAATTGCTTCTTTCCGTTTACTCAGGCCTTACTCAGACTATGCCCTACGACTTCAGCGGGAGACGGCTTTGTTTTTCCACTAGAGCAGGAGCCCCGGCCATATAGCAATTCCTGCATCATATAAGCATTAGCTCATAGGCCTGAAAACAGCGTTCAGCGCAGCGCCAGCCTTGCTGACGCACCACACAGTGCTTTGTTCTACACGAGGAGGAACGTGGGACGATTTTATTGTTTAAACATTTGCACTATCCTTCATAAGACAATAGCTCAGTCACCCAACACCTTGCAGACAAGGGAGAGAGTTGTCTTTCATTCCACACAAACATTTTGAATTCAAGGAATATGTAGTGACAAATATTTTAAACAACCCAAAAGCTAGCACACCTAAACAGACAGTATCTAAACAGCACAACTGCAGATTTGCCAGAGGAAGGGCACAGGTCTGACCAGGGGACATAAAGGGATTTTTGGCCCCTGTCAAAAAGGGAGGCCATTCTGCCACGTATCCATCAGAGATTTTGAAGAAAGTACGGACAGTACCCTGCATCTTCCTCACGCAGAGCAAAATTTAAGTCTTAGGGTAGTCCCCAGGACTCATTGCAGTACTTGGCTAAGTCACTACTGATTTTGAACATATATGAGAAAATGTAAGAGGGCTGGATTTTCAGAAAACCCTGCCCTTTGAAGTAGGCTTAGGGGGGCAAAACTATTCTATGTGACACAGCAAGTGCTGAGCTCGCAGGGACTGGGTGTTGTCCCAGACCATAGCCCTACTTGGCCTCATCACAAATTACAACTGCCCAAAGAAAGGTTTTCACGTCCGAATCCCGCACATGAACGCATGTACTTTCATACATATGTAACATACCTACTGTGAAGCCCAGTCCACTTGCTCATCCAAAACCAAGTAGGTATACACAAATACACGTGCCTATTGAGAACACCAAGCAAACACACAGATTGGCAAGACAAAACATATACAGAGCGGAACCGGAAAAATCTATTTTGACATTTATTTATAGCCAAATTCATGTGCTAAAAGCTAAAGAGCTTCCAGATTTAAATCTTTCATTAGCTTCAGATGAATGATTAAATTAGGGAGCAATGCTAAATATAGATTATACATTTAAAAAAAAAATAAGCTGTGCTATATCACCTGCTGACTGCTAGAACTAGAAGGAATGGTTTAGAAAAAGATTTGGAGATCAAGATATGAAAAATGCGCAGTGAAACTTAGCAGACATGGCCCAAACAATACCTATCAAGATAATTTAAGAAGATTCCTGAAATGGGTCTTGAAAAACTTAAGTTGTTCCAGGAACTTGTTTTCTCTTGCGAAACAAGCTCTTTAGCTACGCTTTCCATAGTTTATTTTGGCTTCATTAGAGATGGTATCTGTGACAGATATCACTGTCCTGAAATAATCAAAGGAGCAGAAGTAGAAATACAACCTGCAGTTTTCCTGTGACTCAAGGCATCCTGTGTTAGCACCAGACACAAAGAGGATTCCCACAGCTTCGGGGTTTATTTGGAAAAGTCAAGCCATTACCTTAAAAGTCAGTGTCACCGACTTAAGCCCATGAAGTGAGGTGTAAATACTCAGCTAAATTAAGCAAGGCTTGAAGCGCTTTACTAAATCAAAGCCTTAGCAGTAAAAGCTGTTCACCT